CATGTTATATACATCATAGTGAGTCAAGGAAGCAAAGGGAAAGTGGCTCATTACTTCATTTCTTAAAACTTGTAAGATGAAAGCTTATTCTGAAGAATTATGTGTCTGAAATACATCACATTCTTCTGTTGGTCTATGTATTTTCCGCTGATGAAAAACATTTTCTTGGTGTTTGAAAGCATATAGAGTTTGGAAAAAGCTGTATTTCTGCACCGGGACATTACATTCACATTTATTTGGTCTGCAAAAGGCTCAGTTGGGATCATAAATACTTTTGTCTAACTTTAATCCCTTTGCTCTAGCTAGTCTGTTAAAATCAGTAGGGTAACTTCATGCTGGTAGGTCAGACTGAGCTAATGAAGCCAAGATGTCATTTTCTGTCCTTTCTTGGCCACTGACTCCAGTGCTGGGTGTGTCTGTACTGTCATCAGTATAGAGACTGTTTTTCAAACAAGTTCAACCTTGAAACATATAATGTCAAAGCACTTCAAATAAAAGCCCTGGACCCTCTGAATTAAGGAACAAAACTATTCTTTGCTTCAGGAAGGCAGGAGACTGGACCCAGCTACAAAATATGTGAGTGCATTCCTTCAGTGAAATTCATGCATAGCATTTTCCCCAGGTTTCCCCAGCATTTCCCCAGCATTTTCTGCCAGGTTCTTCAGGCTGATAGAGCATTCATAACATTTGTGGTGATTTTCCAGAAATTAAGGACGCAGAGAAGAATTGCTAGCTGAAATGCATTATTGTGTAAGACATTTAGAATGATGTTGTGACCCTTTTCCTCTGACTTGTGTCCAGAACTATCAATGATTTTACTGGTTACCTGACTGACCCTGGGACAATCAAGAGGAAATCTGTCCCACTCCAACCCCCAGGGCTCTGTTACCATGAACAATAATCCATAACAAGTATATATGAGTTTATGACTGTCCCCAAAACATTGACATACATTTTTTCACCAAACACTCCATAATCAGTCTAGCTTTGTACCTACCTCCAGTTGGAAGGCATTCTGAGAAATCATAAGTATAAAACCGCTGGTTTCCCACTTCACTAAAACTGTGACATAGGAAGTGAGGAATACCAGGAAAGCTGGGCCCATTGGATATACCTACAGGAAATGCTAGTGAAGAAAACTCAAGGAGGATTGAGGCAAGGAAACTTCCCTACACTGCCACACTGCTGTGAGAGTAAGCTAGATGAATTTGCCCTGTGGCAAGAGGGAATAGGTGATCGGCATATGCATTCCTTTTTTATCCCTAGGGAACAGGATTGTCATTGGGATGATGAGCTGAACTCTTTGGGACATGCTAAGGGAGGCCAAGTTTCTCCATGACCTAGTAAAGATGCTGCAGCAGTTGTGGTAGACGTTTACTATTAATTGTAGCTTAGAGCTGTATTCACTTCTCTCATGCTTGGCCTTTTTTGTATGGCATAACCCTTATTTGGATCAAGTAAAATAATTGTATTCTTTCACTTATTAAGTTTGTTGTGGAATTTCCTCTGGTGGATGCAACTGCAGGTTGGTAGCAATAGGAAAATGGGCAGAGGACCAGAGTCCCTGGAAGGGCACTTGGAGAACTCTGCCCTTATGGAAGCTAGAGGAATAGAAGATATTCAATAATGCTATAAAATACAGCTGCAAATGCCAGGCAAATAAAATGACAAGGATGATGGAGTATTTGAACATTACAGAATAAATTAGGGCAGACCTAGAGACTTGGAAAGTTACTGCTAACATAAAATATGGGCAACTGGGAATATTTTCTCCTTATGTCCCATATATCATTCTTTCCTTTTGAATCATATCTTCCCATTTAAAAAAATGGAAGTGCATACACAAGTGCTGTTGAGTGTAATAGAGTTCAGCCTTTAATATAAGGCAGACATGGTTACCAGAGAGCCTGACACAGCTTATACAGTTGTGGTGAGCTGAAACAGCTTGGGTATTCTGTAGCTAAGTATTTGAACAGAAAAAAATATATGAGCAAGGGAGGTTGAGGATCAGAAGCCAGAAACTTTTCAATTCTTTGACAACCTTGAAAAGGATTGGGTCTCAATTCTTAGACTGCATTACTGCTATAAAAATTTCTGTAAGCAACAAAATTTTGGCAGCAAAGGAACCTGGGATGGGAAACTGGGGACAGTGGTGTACTACCATGAACTAAAGAACTGGCTAATTTGTTCAAGTTTAAAAAGAGAGAAGGATTACTTGAATGGAAAAGTACAGAGCATGTTTTGTAGCACATGATCAGCCGCCATTAGGACACACACATATGCCCACAAGGAGTGGAACAGATCAAATCTTAGGACAAGGGTGAATGCCCTTAAAATGAAAGAAGGCAGATTTAGATTAGACATCAGGAAGAAATTCTTTACTGTGGGGGTGATAAGGCTCTGAACAGGTCACCCAGAGAGGTTCTGCCCCATCCCTGGAAGTGTTGTTCAAAACCAGACTGGAAGGGGCCCTGAGTGCCCTGATCTAGTGGAAGGTTCCCAGCACATGGCAGGAGGGTTGGAATTAGGTGACCTTTCAAGTCTCTTCCAGCCTAGATTATTCTATGATACTATGACTCTGTGAACCCTCAGCTATTCAGCAATTCCAAGGCAGCAAGGTGTGATGGTATAACCTGAAGAAAGCAAGGACACATGGAATACAAAACATCTGTAATGTAATAGTGTAGAAATACTTTGGGTTTAACACGCTTAAATTTGCAAAGTGATTTTATGTCACTTCATTTTTCATAGTAAATGAAAAAGACTGAGCTTTTGTTTCTTAGAACTGAGTAGTTAACTGTCCAGGGTGATTTGCCTGATTAGTTTTAGCCATAATCTGCCTCACAAAGGCTACTTAATTTCATCATAAAACATGACAAATTCTGCCTTTCTAATTCTACGCTTCTATCAGGTATTTTCTAATAAGTTCAGCAAATATTTGTCACTTAATCCACAGACAGTGTTAAAGAATCACACAGGTTTATTTATGGCTCATATAGACTGTAGATTGGACAGTAAAACCCTCATGCAGCTGGTTGCTGTGGGACATTTGGACTGGGTCACAGGACCTTCCCCATACAGAAATGAGACCTGCAGTGGACCCATAGTGTAAAAGAGCAGTAATAATAATGGCAAGGGACAATTAGTGCATGGCTTATATGACTCTGTACCAGAGCTCACTCGTCAGAGCCTCCTTCAGAGCCACGCTTGGTTTTCCAGACCTGTTTCCTTCCTGCCCACTAAAATTCATTTTCAGCCAAAACCTGCTAATAAATGTAAAGCCTTAAAATAGCAATATAATGTACACAAATGCTTGTAAGCTGTGCAGGCCTGGGCACAGTGCTACTTCTCAGGCTGCTGTTCTACTAAGTATTAGTACTAGTAATGATTTATGTGGTGCCACTGAGCTGTGTGACGCTTCCTAAACTTGTAAGAAGGCTGGTTGAACCGTAAAGTCAGAATAACTTCCTCAGTTTCACAAAGTGAGGCAATGGGCCTCTGGGGGAGGTCAGTCCACCTGGAGGGTAGGCACAGATCTGCTTGTGGACAGGACCTCCAACATGTTAAGCACTAATTTCACCAAGAAATGAGACAAAAGGCATTACAAGAATTTTCCTGGAATAAAAGGACTTATTATCCGTGTGTCTTTCTGAACTGGAGAAATGCAACTTACATCTCTTTCAGCTGAAGAAGCAAGTCCAATTCTTGTAAACAGAAAAACATTGCAGAGGTGCTCTTTTCCATTGCAACCATGAATGCACAAAATACTACAGTATTAATATGAAGAGGGAGTTTAACTTTATAAGACTAATGGAAGGAATTTAGGACAGGATGGGCCTTGGATGTAACAGCTGGAAGGAGCATGACTTGTAGGAAAACAAAATCAGTCTTTGGCTATCCTGAACAAGTAGAAAAAAGTTCCAGAAAAAAAAAGTTAAAAATAACGTATTTTAAGGACTTACTAACATAACTAAAGCAAGATCTGCACAATATGTACTGGTAAAGCCCTTCAATGTGTTCAAACACACTTATACATGCTGCATTTATGACCAGTATTATGCATTTTATTGAACCACAGGATTAGTTCAGACTACAGCTTTTTCCACCTAGAAAATGTTTGATAATCATTCATCTGCAAATGGAAAAAAAAGAAGCTAAAATGTCAAGGAGAAAATATAGTATTGAGCAAGTCCACTTGTTTTCATCTGACCTTTTCAATAAAGAATATTTCAAAGCAGAAATTTGTTTCAAATTAAAAAAAAAATAGCATTTTGTTCTAAAAATGTCCATCGTTTAAATTCTCACATTGTTCCCATCCCTCTTGGAAGACATGAAATGTAATGCAAATCAATGTAAAAACAACCATTAAATTGGAATTCTGGGTCCTTTAACAGAAAGCTGTTTTTCTGAATACTTTCCATATAATGCTTTGCAGCTGTTGTGGCCAGACAAGTGTTAATTTAGAGGGCAAGAAAGAGCTACCCTGGGAGAAGAGAGCCCTGGGTGAACGGGGGCTCTGTAACTCCCTGGTCCCATGGCTCCTCACACCCAGGAGCCCCTTTGGGCTGCCCCCAGGTCCCAGAGCTGCCACCAGCTGGGCTTTTCCTGGCCACTCCTGCGCCCCGCTTGGCTGCCAGCACAGCTGCTCCCCCCACTTCCCAACTAGGGTGGTCTCTCTTCCCTTGCCCACCACTCTGTGAATATTTACTGGAAACATGTTTTCTTGGAGGAGGGTTAATCCTTTTTCATGCAGAGCTCCCCTCCCTTTTCCTGATATGCGGAAAGAAAACTCTATAACCCACAGAGTAAGTTATAGGAGCTGGTATGTATTTATTCAGCGCTGAGGTGCATGGGGAATATCTCCTCCAAAAACATGCACCCCCTCAGAGACCTGCCCCTCTCTTTTTATTCTCTACAAACTAGGGTTACACAGTACACCTAATGCATATTCATTTCCTAACCCTGCCTGTCCCCACTTCATGTTAAAATTAGCTCCACACCTCTTTGCGACTGTGCACTGCTCTTTGTTGGTCATCCTGGGGTTGTCTGGGGGTCTTTGAGGCTGAAGTAAGCAATCTTCCCCTCAGCTGAACTTCTCGCCTTGTCTCCTTGCACATGCTCCTTTTTAGTCCTTTGGCCATCTTCTGGACTTTGATACCATTTTTTCTGGCTCAGGGGCCCAGAGAACCCCCATATCCTGTTGTGCCTTTGCCCTTGTATCCTGTTTGTGCACTCTAGCTCTTTATCTTACCTTGTTCCCTTGAACCCTTCCTGTTCTTGTGGAAACAGTAAGCATTTCACAGGGTTTTGTCAGCCCCTCATTCTTTCAGTCAAAGCATTTCTTGATGTTTGATTCCTAATTCTTAATTTCTCTGTTTCATTCCAAAGAAGCTTTTCCTGAAATTGTATTTTATTACAGATAAGTAAAACACTGCTAAAATTAGGCTCAGAAAGAGAAGTAGCTGGGTTTCTTGGCTCTACGCTTTCCCCTGTGTGGTCGTAATCTGTTCCAGAGAGCTGCCTCTGGTCTTTTGCCTCTCTTGTTAAACCAGTGGTTCTTGGAGGCAGCCCATGTCCCTGTTTTGTCAGGATGTGTTCTTGTGGCAATTTCACATTGCATCTGCTTTTTCTGCCATGCTGACAGAGAATCACAGAATCGTCAAAAAAGTCTGGAAGGGTCCTTAAAGATCATCCAGTTCCAACCCCCCTCCCTAGGCTGGGACAATTCCCATGAGACAAGGCTGCTTAAAGCCTCATCCAGCCTGTCCTAGAACACTTCCACGGATGGGGCTTCTGCTAAGACTTTTTCAGGTATGGTGAGTTCTGGTTTCATGGTTTGCTAACCTCTGTCTTTAGCTGCTTCTAAGTAAAAACCAAGGTAACAATACTCGCCAATAATGCAAAGTTATTCTCAATATTTTAAAATTAACCACTGGTTTAATGAACTGGAGAGATACTTTCTTGAGGCTGCCTGACCAGGAAGCAAAATGGCATGTCTAACTCAGTACTTAAGTGTGAGGTGTCCCTGCCCAGGGAGGCAAAGATTTTGTTTCAAATAAGCATTGTTAAAGTGAGAGGTGGGGCTTTAAAGCCTGGGAAGTGTAAACTCCATCCCTCTGCCTCAGGGCAGGGGCCCTGTGAGCCTGGGAAGACTTGTCCTACCCCAGACTCTAGCGGGGTGGCAGCCCAGGGTGTTCTGATTTGTTTTGAGTCCCTGGGGTTTCTCCCTTGCTGTGTTCCTATTAGAACCAGACCTTAAACTCCACCCTGGTTCTGTCCCATAAAACCCGCCACCCTAGCGCTCTTCGGGGCTCTCTGTCTCTGGATCTAAACTGAGTTTGTTCCTGTGTTGAATAAACGGTTTCCTGAGCAGAAGCCCTTCTTGTTGGAGTCCCATGCCGGTCACCAGAATCCATAATCTCCCTGGACTTGATCCTGCAGTTGCGGAATGCAGCACAGAAGAAATGGTGTTCAAAGTGAAACTAAAACCTGCCTTCATACACTGATAGACTCTGAACTTGCTGAAGTTATGTTTCAAGAACTGAAGGGCTTTTTATTACAATGCATATCGTGTTAAAATATCGATTCATGGATGATTAAAAAAAATCTGAGAAATTATTTCAAGGAAGTAGAAAACAAATGTCAGAATTTCTTTTAGCAAACTGATTCAGTTGCATCTTAAATGCACTGGAAATCTGGTATACTTCCTATTTACTCTCATGGGAAAAATGATACCTGAATCCTAGAGAACAATTCAGGTGGCAACATGGATAAAGAAAGTCTGCAAAGGTATACATCAAATGAGGAATGACTATATTAGGGTTTCCCCATCCTGAGAAAGAAAGGGTTATGGTGAAGGTGTACAAGACCATGAGTTGACGGAGACACCAAGGATCCACTCTTTTTTCTCTTTCCCTTCCAGATCCTGGGGACTTCAAATGGCATACTGTCAGGTTTGAATTGTGAAAAACAATGTTCAGGTTTCCTAGTAAATTTTAAAAGGTTTAATAAAAAAGGAAATAGGAGACAAAGACAATAAAGCAAAGGGTTAAAATGGCCGGGTGTTTGGCATTCTGCTAAGAGCACACCTGGTGCTTTGGAAACACTCTTTATATACCATTTCTATTGCATCACCTTGATATATATTCATAAGTTTTATGCATATTCAAACTTTTCTATTAACTAGTTTACATTTTCCAGGGAGTGTTTAGCATAACCACTCCTTGGATCCATATTTTTAGAACATGCATGTTTCTTGTATTGTGGTTTTAATTCTCTTCTTATCATATTTTAATTTGGGCCTTGGCTCCTTCTTTCCACAGACAGTGGGTCTGTGCTGATAATCAGCAGGGTCCCCATCATTGTTCATTGAATGTTATCCCAACCAAGCAGACAGTTCAAACATACTATATCAACTATTACAGCAAAGACATTTTAATGTTATACAAGCATTCATCTGAATACTTGAGAAAAGCCAGTATTATACTATGTATCCATAACAGAATGAAAGTTAAGCACACGTTCTATACAATATTTTGGATGTCAGTAAGTCTGCATGGGTTAAAACAAAAGGTATTAGTTACAAAGGAAATCCCTGAAATCGCACAGGGTGTGAAGGCATTGCCAAATTTCCTTTCTCTGTCCCTGTGCTCCCCATTCAGCTGCTGACTGTAGTTGAGATGTGGCCAGACCAACCCCTTCAGTCTGATTAATTCTTCCTGGTTTTACATCCGGTTTTGGTTGCTGTGTCCTTGTATTATACTGCTGCATAAGAACAAGGGCTCCTCCCTTGGCTCCTCCAGGCCAAGGCAAGTATTTAATTTAGCAGCATGTTTTCCTCTGCAGCAGGAGCAGCAGCAGCTCAGCACGGAGCACGGCACGTCTGCTGTGAGCCCAGCAGCCACCTGATCCAGCGCTGCCTGCTCTGGAGCCTCTGTGCCATGCTCTCAGCTGCCCAAAGTGCTGAATGGGAGCTGTGAATTTTCAAATCCCTGACCTCCTAAATACCCTTTTTTCTTTACTGGAGCTCATTACACCTTTCCCAGCAAGTCCCAAAGCCTCAGTGGTTTAAAGATTAAACAAAGAACAAGGTCCAGCTGCCCAAAGAACTGAAATGGGATCTGTGGATTTTCAAATCCCTGACCTCTAAAATATCCCTTTTTCTTTACTGGAGCTTATTAGGCCTTGCCTAGCAAGACCCAGAGCCTCAGTAGTTTAAAGATTAGACAAAGAACAAGGTCCAGCTGTGCTTCCATTTGGAAAAGACAAAAAAAAATCCATGACTTAATGTACTTAAAAGTAAAAAAATATGAGTTACAAAATTTCCAACATAACTTCTTAAAAAAAAAAGATTGATTATCTTGAAAAATTGACATGATTATAGTTGAATATTCTTCCGTAAGAGAACAAGCCATATTGTATAGCTAAAAACATGGCACAATAAAAATCTGTACATGGTTCTGGGTGATTTTCTCACATTTCATTCACACTTTGGTGCCTCACTGAAAAGATGATGAGGTTTAAACCATTGCTAGTTACAATGCACGTGTGGACAAACACAAACTATTCTTATAAAAGGAAGTTTCTTCATTGTATTCTGTTGGCAACTGGAGTAGTTTTCCTGTGTGTCTCTACTCGACAGTTATTCCCTCTATGAAGGGTTGTTTCTGTGCCTCACTATATCTCCACCACCAACTGAAACTGAAAGCACTGCAAGCTTATTTAAGCTGTGGGAGCTGCAGGACACTTTCTCTTTTGTTCTTTTCTGACAGAGGTTTTGCTCTTCTCAAAGTAAGGAGAGGCAGAAAAATGGATATGTTACATAAAGTGGTGAATTTCTGCATCCAACACCAAACCATTCTTGGTTACAGCACCGTGTCCCTCCTGACGGCTGCCAGTGAGTACATCTTCTCATCTGTGGTGTTCAAGTGTCCCTGCAATTCTTGGAACATGGTATATGGTTCCTCCTTCCTCTTTGCTCCTGCCTTCGTGCTCTGGCTGCTCGGCTGCATGGTGAATGCCAGGATATGGCGTCTGTTGACAGGCAAGTGTTCTCCAGAGAAGCAGTGCATTTCCTGTGGAACCTGTGCCCGCTACTGCCAGCTGTTGGTGCCAATGGCAGCCAAAACCTTCGTGGCCCCACTCACCTGGATAGTGGTGGCCCTGTTCGGAGCCAACTTCTACGAGTGTGCGGCTAGTGGAAGCAGATGGATACAACGCTTCTTCTGTAAAGATAATGCGACCAACTTCAGCTGCCAAAAAACTCTGTACAAAATACCCTGTGATGAAGAATTATCAGCAAAGCTATCAAGTGAATGGCTCAGCCTCCAGGCACAGTCCCAGGTAAAGCCTTGCTCTTCTCCTCACACTATGGGCTTCAACCCTGGCTGCTCAATGTGTAGTGGTGCCTGCTGGGCACTGTAAACGGTCCTCTCTTATGTTATATAATACCATGTACCAAAAGCACACAGGCAGCAAATATTCATTGGCAAAAAAGCAGTAACAGAAAAGCAATAGGTGTATTTTTATGATCCTTTCTGGTTTTGCATGTTTGCATGGTGGTGGTTTGGCACTGTCATTTACAAAACCTCATGAGCAGGGAACCAGCCTAGAGAATGGGACTTTCCTCAGGAAGTTTTCTTCTCAGTTAACTTAGACATGGTGTGAGTTCTTCTCCTTCTTCAGTTTTATGTCTCTGAATACCTCAAACTTCTGCAAAAGTGCATTAGTTGAGGGGAAGCTGAGATCACTAAGAGAGGGGAAGCTGATGCCTCCTTGCAACAGAGTGGTTACAAGGAGACATCTGGAAAGATAAACAAATAAGAGCAGCTTGTTTGACTATAAATCTCAGCGCTTGAACCTCTTAATGATTTCACACTTGTATTCTAGAAGAATAGTTAAATATGTATCTGTCCTGTTAAAGTTTCTTGTTCTGAAGGCAAGCTGCGTGATCAAAACAGTAACACTTGTGAATTGGGGTTTTTTTTTGGTTCTTTGGCAGCACTCCAGTTTTGTTTCTACATTGTGTGGATTTTGTCTTAACTCCAGTAGGAAAATCAGGTTTTGTAAGCTTTTCTCAGGAAAGCATTAAGAGTCAGTTAAGGGAGTTAAGTTTATAAGTTAATTTTTGTCAGATATAGTTACTTGGATTTTTGTAAGTTCCTGTTTGGAACAAATGCCTATTAAAACAAAAAAGTGTTTTTGTTAAATACTTAGCATGCTGCTTCTCCAAGAAAAAGGCTGGAAAGGGAAAAACTATACCATTGATTTTAGATAGGGGAATGTTATAAATGAGTAGTAAATTTGATTAATAAAAAAGAACTGATTCTATAATCAAAATACAATTGTAAAAGGCCACAAGCAAAAGTCAGATCGGCGCTGAACTGGGCAAACAGCGTTGGGTGAGGCAGGGAGGGGCTCTCTAGCACTGCTTCACCGTGCTTCACAAACTGCAACTGTCACAGGGTGCTTTTTAAGTTTTCAGGGGGTCCCCTGGAAATATGGCCCTAGCAGACGAATATTCATGCTAACCTCGGTGCATATCACTATAATCTCATCAGAGGAGGTTTCCTGGAAATATGCTAGGATTCCTATCAGGCAAGATTATAACTTTAGCATGGATTTATTCTGCAATGTATCACAGTAAGAAAGGAGCAAAACCAAGGAAGACTGACTGTTACTGACATTGCAATGGAATCTAAAAGAAACATCCAGTCAAACAAAAATAGGAAAAGTGTGAGTGTATTTTTATTACTGACCACTATTTTTAATATCCAGTCTACTTCCAACAAAATTAAGAGCCAAAAAAACTCCAGCTCCTTTTCATTTAGCACTCAATACTTCTTCATTTGAAGAAAAAGTCCTCCTGAGGTAAAAGAGCATGTTGCAGGATCTCTGCCTGGAGCTTCCAGCTAAGTACCTCTGGGTAGAGGAGGGACCAGCATCTACTAGGACACTTGGTTTTGATGGGACCTGTGAGACTTGTCTAAGGATGTTAAAATCAGGTATAAAAAACAAGAACGAATTCACATATTCAATAGCCAAATCTGTGTCCTGCCTACAAAACACAGAGGACACAGCCTTTCCTCTGTGTCAAGCAAAAGCTAGCTGTTTTTGCAGGCTCAGACATCAGGGAGAGTAGCTCCAGCCCATGAGAACATAGCCAGCAGAAGCTCTGATTTGCAGCACGAAGCAGACAGAGTGATTCTGCACCCTCTGTGCCATAAACGTGACCACAATTGCAGAAACTATATCTTGACTTAAAAGTTAAGAAAGCTGAATATAACTGAGCAAATAACTTCTGTCCATCTTCTCTTTTTTTGGTATTCATCTTTAATCTGACAAGATCAGCTGAGGGGTGCAGAAGCTCTGTATGTCTGGCTGAAATGCATGCATGGGATCCCCTCTTTTGGCAGCAAACAGACAGTTACATGCCCTCCAGGGTGTCTTTGCTTACACTTTTCATATTTCTTCAATGTTATGTTCTATACTCCCACATATGACCATGCAAAAACACCATTAACATATATATTCTTTTTCCAAGGTGATAGGGTGGTTCCTGATAGCCATCATCATGACTGTGGCACTGATTTCGACATGTGCCAGCCGCTGTTTCTCCCCGGTCAGCTATCTTCAGTTCATGTTCTGGAAAAGTTACACAGAAAAAGAAGATGAACTCTTTGAGATGAAAGCCAAAGAGCATGCAACTGAGCTAGCAGAAAGAAATACAAATTGCTTTTTTGAAGCCAGCACTGACCCAGCACCATTCCATACCCCCAGCAACGAAGACTGGCAGAAGATTTCATTGTTGTATACCTTTAATTCAGATGAGCAGTATTACAGCAGGATACACAAGTATGTGGACACCGACAGAGTCAACAGCACCGAATCAAGGGAAGACGAATCTCACCAATTTAGCATTTCTGGATGAAACCCAGGCAGGCTTTTCATGGTTGTAATGAAATAAATCCTTTGCAATGCTGGCAGTCCTTCAACCCTACTGATATAAGAAGAGTCTTGCTCTCTGCTCTTACTGAAACCTATGCAAACTGAAAGCTGACAGTTGTAACCCTCAGTAGATGTGCTTTTAAATACATTTCAATCATTTTGCTTAAGTACATTTAAATAGGAATTTTCTTATGTTGTTGTCCATATGTAAAATAAGCAGCATGCACAAAAATGTCAGCACTTATTATGTCAAATTATTACTGAAACCTTAAAAGCACTTGGCAGGTGGAGTGACGATACCAAACCTTATCAAAGAGACAAAAAAAGGAATGGAAGATTTGATCAGAAATTCAGCTCAGTTTATTAGCTCTTTCTTTATAATGAAGCTTTCAGTGATGCTTATAGCAAGCTGTAAATTAAAAAATTTTGCTTGTCTTAAGGAGTTAGGCTCATGCATAACATGGCGGTGTAGGTGGAGCATATTAACAAATGTTAAAAGCACATTCATACATTTAAGGACATTAAAAATCTGCAATTCATATTAGCAAGTAGTAATATTCTTATCAAAGAACATCTTATTATAAGAAATAAAGATACAAGGTTTGAGTGAAGAATAATAAAATTCACTTTTCTTCTGAAAAGCTGTTGCTTAAGAGAGCATTTTATATATGTAAGTCAGATTGTTTGGTCCAGGCTGTCTGTGTGCTTCTGCTAGAAATTCTCTTTCTACACAATAAACTCAGAAATTTTTCAGACATACATTAATAAAGAAGTTTTTTGTTACTTTCATTTTACAATGAAGGAAAAAGGGAAGAGCCTGTTTTAACTAGCTGAATATAACGAGCTTGAAAGCTTCTTTCTCACTATAAACTAAAAATATAACACATAAAGGTAGAACTGAAAGATTTAATCAAGATTTAATTTTACATGTAAAAAAAAATTTAAAAAATATTAATCACAGCCACTGACTTGCTCAGTGCTGTTTTCCTTTTGAGAAACTCAATGATATAGAGTAACAGTGCAGGCTGGGGCCTGACATCTCAGACAGCATCTCTGTACAGAAGGACCTGGGTGTCTCAGTGGATGACAAGCTATGAGCCAGCAGTGCTCTTGTAGCCAGGAGGGCCAGTGGTGTCCTGTGGTGCACTGGGGAGACATGGCCAGCAGGTCAAGGGAGGTGATCCTGCCCATCTACTCAGCCCCACTGAGGCCACATTTGAAGTGTTGTGTTCAGTTCTGGGCTCCTCAGTGCGAGAAAGACAAGGAGCTACTGGAGAGGGTCCAGCAGAAGAGTCACAAAGGTGATTTTAGTCTGGAGCATCCCTCCTATGAGGAGAGACTGCAGGAGCTGGGTCTGTTTAGTCCAGAGAAGAGAGGATTGAGAGAAGATCTCATTAATATCTCTCAAAGGTGGGTGGCAAGAGGAGGGTGCCAGACTCTTTCCAGTGATGCCCAGCAACAGGAGGATAAGCAATGGCCTCAATCTAAAGTACAAGAAGTTTCACCTCAGCATGAGAACTTCTTTACATGGAGGGTGGCAGAGCACTGTCACAGGCTGCCCAGGGAGGTCATGGAGTCTCCCTCTCTGGAGACAATCCAGACCCACCTGGATGTGTTCCTGTGTCACCTGCTGTAGGTGACCCTGCCTTGTCAGGGGGGTTGAATTAGATCACCTTCCGAGGTCCCTTCCAAACCTAGAAGTTCTGTAATTCTGTAAGAAAACAAGGACAGTATAGTTTGTTCACTTTCAAGATAATAGTAGCAATATTAAGAATATTAAGAATATTAATATTGTTATTATCAATAATCATAATCATGATCATGATAATAATAATAATAATGATAATATTTGGCTAGTGTTGCTGGAAAAAGTGAAAATGACCATTTCCAATAAACAGCCTTTAATGTGGTCAGCCACATGGCCATCTCAACCAGCTGGCCATTACCAGCAAAAACCCCACTGAGGGCTCTTTCACAGGCACTGAAATCAGACAAATTCCACAACACCTTTCAGATCTAATTTAAAAAAAAAAAAATTATAAAAGGGCAGGGAAACTTGTTACTGGTCATAATATATTGTTACACATACATGTTGCCACTTCTTACTGGTAGCAGGTAACAGCAGCTGGGCTGAGACCAAGGGTGGTTAACAAATAGTTTTGGTTTTGGTTTCCTCATAAAATTATGCACTTAAAGCTCCATTATGCTATGCCACCACTGTACCACACTATTAAGACAAACAATGGGAGAGAGAGTGTCATGAGAACTGTACAGGTCTGGTATGAGAATGAACCCAAGGTAAGAGATGCCCCCACTCAGCATGATAAAGATGTAAACAGACTGGGGGAAATACAGGAGAAGGTTCAAAACACAGTTAAAAAATCAGAGTTAATTCAGGGCTACACTGAACTTAGTTGTTGGTATTTCAGTTTCAAATAAGTGTTTTGGTGAGAAGTGGGTAAGGTGGCTTTGTGGGTAGGGTGCTGTGCTAGGACCTGGGGTTCTGTCCAACCCTTATCCAGACATCTTGCATTACACCAAACAACTTTAAACCTTTCCTATAGCTTGGGTTTCTCTGAGGCTGCTCCTTCTCTACTTCCCAGTCATGTTGTGGTAACAAGTCCACTGCCACAAGGAAGATGTTCAACAGCTGGTGGTGAAGCCCAGGTAAACGCAGAAAACATGACCACCAAACCATTTGTGTGGCAATCTCAGAATTTTTATTCAAGTTTCCTTAGGCAGGTACAGATCCACAATGGCTACACATTAAATGCATCATGCTTTGCACAGTTTAGTCACAAGATTGGTGCTCTTGGAGAGAAGGCTGACATGAAAAGGCCCATAGCTTGGAGAGACACAAGCACTGCTGCAGTTGTCAGAGTGCTGCAGCCTGGTGTGTGCACAGGACTGAACAGGAGTGCCAGCAAAACTGCATGTGGGGCCTCCAGAGTTGGAAGGAACACAACCAGCTCCTGCTGTCAGTGAAGGCCCATCCCTCTCTGGTTTCAAAGATAGCAGGATGTGCAGTGTGGAGGACAATGAATGGCAAAGCATTACACATTAAAACATGCATGAGTGAGAATTGGTATACAGATGAATGCACTAAATACTGAGATAAAACTTCCATTAAGCTCAAGCGTATATGAGAAGGTAGGTCAGATAATTTCAATTTTTTTTATAGATATCTGTGTCATGACAATTAACATTGCTCTCCCCTGCCCTGTCCCTCCTCTTTGCTGCCCATCTCTCTTCACCTTTCAACCAAGTGGCTGGTGCAGCTGATTCAGCAAAGCCACTTTTATCCTGTCTTCTTCTGAAACAAAAGGCACAAAATATCCCTCAGCAAGTGTTTTCTTCCAATATTTCTTTCATTTGTTCCTTCTGTGCCTTCTGTCTTCAGGCTTCCTTAAAAATGTAATTCCTATTTCTGTCACAGCATCACCCTTCAGCCTGTCCTGGAGGAAGGAAACTTCTGCTGCTAAGTGAACCTAGAAAGAATCAGGTCTGATCAGTTAAGCAAAGAAATGCCCGGTTTTCCACCCTCCTCCGGTATAATGAGCTTTTTCCCCCTCTTACCACAAGAGGACCCCCTTTCTCAGGTTTCATAGGAAACAGATCTGTAGATCGTTTTACAATAGCTTTCCCAGCTAAACTAACACATAGGAAGTTTATAAACACTGGAATTTGTATAGCACATTACTCTTCTTCCCAGTGCTTTGCTTTCTTCTGTGACCCTAAACTGCGTACTTGATGATTTTCTGATCACAGAATTTCCTAGTCATGTACTAAGATTTATACTTTTGTTAATTAGTCTTGTATCAGATACTATAATTCTGAGACTGATGTATATACATAACACTGCAGGGTTGATTTTTTTGTCTCTTGAAATATAAGATATATGCCAAATTTGATATTCACAGAAACATAAAGCAGCCTGAAAGTAATCTCCCTGAAGAAGATCTAGAGGTTAGAAATTTTCAAATTATGCCATTTATTTATTTATTTGCAAAAACCTTAAATTTAAGACCAAATTTTGGATTGCAATCTGATACACTTCTAATGCTTTGGTTTTAACATTATACTCATCCACACCTTGTTCTCTCTTTCAGCAGGTACCACGGTAACCTGAGACTATTGATGTATTTATCTTTTTCAACTTTTTCAATTTTTATCAATTTAACTTGACGTATTTGGATGACTATTACTGGCTACAGCTGTGCAGGTAAGTGTGATGGGCTCCAGGAGCAGTGGAGGAACCCAACATGTCCTGTCTGTCCACTTAAAGTGTTACTTGGCTTCCTGATCCCACCTGGCTTTTGCACCCAAGTCCACCACTGAACAGCCAGGTGGGGATAGTGTGGGGGTGAGTTAATTCATGTGCTTCTCTACCTCAGGACCCAGGCTCAGCCTTTGTTTCTTTTATCTAGATATGGACATTTAACCCGAGAGGTTAAACAATATGATATTTCCTACTTTCATCTGAACAAGTGATCTTGTTTTCCTCTGCTACTGTGAATTAACAAAGAATGGAGAAAACAGATCTGCACTTCCTTACCATTTCCAAGGCACCTCGAATCACCCCACAGAGGAGGTTACAGTAGCAAAGTGATGCTCGTTCTGCTGGCAGCTCCTCCACAAAATCCACTAGTGGGTTTTTGTCCAGGATTAAGGAGAATTCATTCCCTGTGGCATTACTGCAGCTCACACTAGGGGTGACCCCAAGGTACATCTTGAAAGCAACCTGCAAAAGAAAGAAATTCTGCTGCTTAAATGTGTTGCGTGCAAACCAGAGGCAAAACTTTAGAAAGCAGCATCCTGTAGACCAGTTTTACCCTGTGAAAACAAGGGGGAGAGCCAGACAGGCTAGAAATCAAGGTACATTTGTCTCTTCTGTGATCAGCTTGAGCCAGCAATGCAAATTTAGAGCTTTGAGGAAAACAGCAGGGAGCTGTTCTTTGATGTTCCTACGTTTACAACCCCATACAAAGTGGTTTAACTGTTATCATTCTTCTGCTTTGAATCTGCTTTCAGTCATGTCATACTCCCTTGGGACCATTAGCATCTATATTAGGTCATTCACTACCTCACCAACTCTTATAATCACAGCTCAAGATCTCCTTCAACTGGCCGAGCGCGTTTTTTTTCACTCTGATCTCCATCTGCACTCGCTTAAAAAAAAAAAAAAAAAAAAAAAAAAAAAAGACACAAAACAAACAGCCCACCAAGAACGAGACTTCCAAGACTGCAAGCTTATTTGGCTCCACAGAGCTGGCTTTCTCTCCACTGCCGGGGGATGCCGCTAGTGCAGATGTGCAGCATCTGCCGGTGACATCACGGCGTTATCTCGGCAGGGCGTGGGCAGGGAGCGGCGCGCTGCTCCTCCTCGGCACGGCTCTGAAACCGCCTGGATTTTCACCTCCTTAGTGAGTATCAGACATGGATGCTTTCCAGACGATCCTGAAGTTCTTTATGAACCGGAAAACCGCTATAGGCTACAGTTTTATGGCGCTGCTGACAATGGGAGGTGAACGTGTGTTTTCTCTTGTTGCTTTCAGATGCCCTTGCAGCAATGAGAACTTCAGGTACGGTTTGGTATTTCTCTTCTCGCCAGCTCTTGTTTTGCTAGTTATTGGATACTTCTTGAACAGCAAGACCTGGAAACTCTTTACAGGCTGCTGGGTGAATCCCAGGAAAATATTCCCCCGAGGGAATGTCTGCCATTTCTTTTACGTCTTTGGCCAAATCACTTTAAACGCTCTGGTAGCCCCAGTGATGTGGCTTTCAGTGGCCTTGCTCAACGGGACTTTTTACGAATGTGCCATGAGTGGCGTGGAAAATCCCGCCTACTTACAAGCAGTTTGCCACAGGAAATCCGAGAAGTGCTTTGAAGAGCTTCACAAGGTAGCCTGTGACAAAAGCTCCCTGCCCTTTTCAGAGAGTGACGAACTGAAAAGAACGCTTCAAGCACAGTCCCAGGTAAGAAAAATTATAAACAAAGAACATTATCCAGGTTGTACTCCTGCTGTGATTTATCTGTGGAAGATGCTGATGTCAGATATTATGTTAAAACTGTTGGCTTCCTGTAAATAATGTTTTGGCAGCCTTGCAAAATACAATCAATCCATCTTTTGGTTCAGTTTGAGCTGTTCCATATTTCTTAGGGGTCCCCACCGGTGGCGAGTCAATAAGACCAGAAAACCTAAAGCTTTCTTCCTGAATGGAGATTGCTCTAAAGATACAAAAAAAAAACCCAAACAACCCAACTGGATTGTTTAGGAGGCTAAATTAACAGATGTCACCCCTCTATAGGGGTCTGTCCTATTCAAAAATTTATGCCACATTCTCCTATTTTAAATAATTGTGATAACTGTAGGGAAATTTTAGGTGACTAACAGCAGAAAAATACTGGAAAATAAGATTTGTGAAATATCTTTTTACTATTTACGTAATACATTTCTATTTGTGTTCCTCATTTTCATGATGCCAAATGTGAGCATATTTTTGTCCTGCTTGGAGGAAGTGAGAAACAATAAAGCAAGCAGATCATGCCAACCTGAGATCTTACTACATTTTACAATATTTGTGCAGCATTTTTGCTCTCTCTATTGTAATGCAAATAAACTCAGAAGCAAAAAATCAAAACGGTGGAAAGAATAATAAAAACAAAAAGCTACAGAAATGGGAAAACACTGTGGAGCCAGCAAGTTTTTGTCAGGGATTGTTTCCATCTGGAACAATTTCCTTTCCAAGAGTTGTTTTGGTTTTTTTTTTCCGAGTCCTCATGCAAATAGGACAAAGGCTGCTCTGCAGACAAAGCCATTTATTTGATAGTTTTAGAAGGTAACAACAGATAGTGCTTAAGACTTTAAGTTGTATGTATAGGAAATAGTGAAAGACCAGGGATCCAGTTTTAGCATGAGAATATAAGAGTTCATTTTCTAAGCTGCAAAAAAGTGAAGAATTGCTAAAAAGAGCAATTTCTCAAATACCCATTAAAGTTGTTAGTCAGTACAAAGTGATTGGGAAAAATAAAGGAAAACTGTAACTATTCTTCCATACCAGTTCCTAAGAATATATGTTTGTCAAGCTTCTCTGTTTCACAGACTTCCCTGAGGAAACTTCTATATTCCATCAGCTAAATACAGATTTTTACCAGTAGTAATTTTTTTTAACATCAGTGCACAAGAGTTCACATGGGAAAGGATGCAGCTCTCCATATCATAACCATTAGAGCATGGGAGCTCAGTTCCAGTTCATACAGTCCTCTGAACTCTAGAATGTTTGTCCCACACTGGAACTTTTTCCAGTGATTGAAAACAAGTATTACTTTTTTACTTTTTGTTTTGGTTTTTTTTTGTATGGGGTTTTTTTACACATTGCAGTGGAGTAGAGGAGTAAAACTATTGGCTAGGCCAGTGGCACAAGGCAGGAAAAATTGTGTTCACACCACTGCTCTCCTTAGAGGAGAACATCCCACAATAACAATTTCAAGAACATTTTTCCACTCTCTCACCTCCTGAGGAAGTAATTCTGGAAGTAGCTCTTTCTTTTAAAATGTTCTTGGCAGAATTTTGTCAAAATCTGAAGCTGCTACAGAAAAAAGAAGTCGAGTGATGTTGGTTACTTAGTGTAGTTGTTGTGTTGGAGGCTATTTTCTAATAAAAAGAAATCAGAAAACAAAACATCTAACAGTGGCCACAGTTTAAAAGGTTGGTTGATCTGGGACAGAAGTTACTTGCCTTTTTTGATTTGTAGTTCTTCACAATTCAAAATAAGTAATTCTCGCTGGGTAGTTTTGTGTAATGCTTTCAGGAGTTAGAAAACACTTTACCCCTTACCAAAGAAGACACCAAAAGGAGCATTATTGAGAAGCCTCTGTGCTGATGGACTTTTCAGTCCCCATGTGGATGTCCCATTAATCAATGCCAGCACCGAATGCAAACAAGGTGTGGTCACTTTGTCAGACATTCGTGACTCAAGTAGCATTTTCACTTGGGTCTTTTTAACCTGAAACTTATTTCTTTTGCCTTCCCAGATTTTAGGCTGGTGTGTGATAGTTACCACAGCTCTCCTCTCCCTGATAACCACTTGCTGTGCCAGCTGCCAGTCAAAAGTCAGCCACCTCCAGCTGATGTTCTGGAGAGTGTACGAGGGGACAGAGAAGGAGCAACTGGAGCAGATTTTCCAGCTGTATGCCACCAAGCTGAGCGAGCGAAACCTGAAGTGCTTTTTTGAAAACAAGGAACCCGAACCCATTTCCCTGCCAGCTTTCCAGGCATGGGAAGATGCTTCCCAGCTCTACTCTTTCAGCAGCAGCAAACAGCATTATAGCACAATTCACAGGCTAGTTGAAGAAGGCCAGAAAGGAATCAGTGAGGAAAGAGAGACAATGCTGGACCTTGCGGACAGAAGGGAAGAACCATAGACCAAGTATATTTTCAGCTTTTTTATATCTTGTTAATATGGCATACTTCTAGTTGGTTTGGTCTCTATATTTTTTCACAATGGCCTATTTCTTCTTCATCATGTTTCCTCCCAGTTAGATACTTGCTCCAAAAGGATGGACTGAAATTATTTCCCTACACAAGTGAAAAGGCTGCACCACAGCACCCAGGGTTCATGTCACTGGCTCAGCATCAAGAGCTGACAGCACAAAGAAATGAATAATGACTTCTACAAGAGAGTTTTAACAATATGCTATGTAAAATGTGCTTGTCCTGTGTAAATCAAGAGACTGTCAACAAGTAAAGTCATTTAAAGTGTGTGAATATATACAAGATACATGTGGCTTTCTGACAGCCCACAGAAAGTACAGGTTTTCTGTCCAGGTCATTTTCAGGCCAGTTGCATGCACAGCCTTGTTTTGAGGCACCAGTGATCCCACAAGGTTTCCCTGTCTTTGGATATTTTGCCTCTGTAGAACATATCCCTGTTACCTGCTCCCAGTCTAGACTTCTCTTTGTATGGATATAAAGTTCTACTTTTGAGCGAATTTCAGGTACTGGGTGCAGCCTATAGTGCTATGTAATGTTGTTGTTTCTGGGCCTGCAGCCAGTGTACAATGAGGGCTTGGAAGGAAATTCCACTTTTAAAGACAAGAAAATATTTTCGCAGAAGACTGACTTTCATTTTTTTGAATATCCTAGGAAAACTTAGTGTCTGGAGCAAGAAGAACCAGCAGGCGAGGCAACTGTGTCAGTTGACACATTTGTCAGTGCCTCTGATAAATGCATTTCACCCCAGAGCCCTGTGCTTTACCTCACCCACTTGGAATTGATAACATGGCTCTCAGAGTGTTCAGAGTATTTGCAAATGTTGTATAAAAGGAGAACAAACTTACTTTCCCTGGGGTGGCTGGGCAGGCTTTTGTGCAGCATTTTATTGCCAGTCTCTCTGAGTCTGCAAAGAATCATGCACACTTTTACTGTGCTTGAATCATGCTCTTCTCAACAAACCAGGGTATTCTGCCCAGCTGTTCTCATACTCAGTGGGCTTCTTCAGCAGGTAAAAGCATCTATATACAGACCAATACCCTTTATGAAATAAAACACAAGAGCTAATTCAACTACCTGCTTAGAATTTTCTCCTTATATTTCTAAGAACTTATGACCTTTGAGACGATGTTTTAAAGTTCTTTTATCCCAGATGTCCCACTTAGCAGCACACTTACCACATGTTATATGCTTAAATAAGCCTGCTGCAGCTGAAAGCACAGATGCAACACAGCCAAAATGAAGGTGTCTGACACTGTGACTGGCACAGACACCAAGTATTTTCTCCCCAGGATCCTCTCCTGGTATAGCATCTACCTACTTCCAGGCTATGTGACCCTTCCTATTTGTCTGATTTTATCTTTCTTTAAGAGAGCTGCTCCAACATCTTCTGTCCAGCCCCATGTCACCACCTCCCTGCATACAAGGGGAGGCAACACTCCCTAACAGGACAGCCACGCTGCCTGGGTCAAACTTCCTTTTCCAAAACTGTCTCTCCACCTCATTCCTCAGAAAATCAAAGCAAATAGGGATGCAATGGGGAGGACAGCAAGTAGGTTAATGAGCTGATCAAAGAAATATGGGAAACAAGTGGGTTGATGTAGAGATAAGGTCTGCAGTGTAATATAATAGCTGGGACACAGAGGCAAAATCATAGCTGGTAGAGGGAAGGGTAGAAGGGTTTGGTATCCTCTTTTCCCTCAGAAGAAAGCTTAGGGCTCTGCACCTGAGTAGCCTGGGCCATCTGAAACTGCAGCACTTCCCAGCCCTATCTTCTGCTTTATTGTGGAGGGGCAAATCTAAGGTGAATTTCCCCCTCCTCCTCCTTGCCTGCTTCACATTTGCATATTTTTAACTCATGTTGAGAGTGTCTCCACCCCCAAGAGCAGCTGCTGAACACAATGTGTGCCTGGAAGGAGCCCATCTCTCACTGATCCTCATTCCCTGAGGCCTGTGGGACTCTTTTATCTTACCAAAACTCCTGTGACTTCTTGCAACTTCCACGTGGATTCTAGAATACTTCTGTAAAAACAGACTGAAATAACAGCCAGTTTGACTCTATGTTTTCAACTGGAATGTGGGTTTGGCAAATTTAACTAAGGCCTTCAAAGGGCTATTGCAAAAGCTACTTTCTATAAGCATTGTCCCCAAATTCATCAGCTACCATGGCAGCTAAGAAAGGGACAGACTATGGTCAACACTGTCCAAAACAAACTGGAGAGAGAGGAAAAAACCCCAACAAATAAAACCAAACAGCAAGATCAATATTTTCTGCTGGAAAATTTTGATTTTGCATTAATTCTGATACTCATCAAAATATGACTGCACAAGAAAACAGGAAACTTCTGTTTAATTCTCTGTGCTCTGTCTCTCAGTTTAGCCATTAAAATTCTCTCAGCTCTTCTTCCACTATACATCTGCTGCTCCATCAAACTTGAAGTTTTTGTTATAAAAATAAAGAATTTTTAACCATGCTAAGCCCTCATATGCTCTCAGTTTAGTTTCAGCTGTACTTTGCATTATGGTATGATGAATCTGTCCAAATTCTATTGTTAAAAATTCCTGTGTAAAAGAGAACTAGCATGGAAACTGTGCAAAAGAAGTAGCTGGTTTGCAATGGAGCATCAAATTAAGGCCAAATTGCAAAGCTATAAAGTGAAAATTGTGAAAATGCCTTGCAGGAACAATAATTTAACTGCACAAATATGCAATTCAATGAATATAAACAATTTTTTCTTAAAAACAGGCTATAACTGGATAGCAACTTCTTTAAAACTACCATTTATAGCTTCTCAGAGGTTAAGACAAAGGCCTTTTCAGTCTTTGTGACTCCAAAAGGCTAGAAAATAAAATGAAAGAGGTGTTTTAAAACTTGCATCCCATAAATCTGCCTCATTTTTATCTATGAAATGGAAGAAAAAAGAATATCTGTTTAGACATGTACATAGGCTTGCCACCAAAATTATGCCCATATAAAGAAAAATCTCACTTTTGGAAATGTTATTTGCAACTCTGTGACACTATATATTGCTTAATGAGAAAATGAGGTCTATGCAGTCTGAATTAAAAATGTATCACTGCCCTTTTTCAAAGTCTCAGCCAGCATTCCATCTCTCTGAAGCAGCAAGAATAAAAACCATTAACATTTTGATGATGCTCAAATACGGTTTAGAACTACTGAAATATTTAGGAAGTCACTATCAGTCCCTCTACGTACTACTGGGGACTTTTCACTACCAAACTTTTCATGCATAAGTCATGATGCCAAGTAAGTAAGTACAGACTGTTAAAAAAAATAAAATCATTGTTTCAGACAGCATAATAGCAAGATTAATGAAGGACCAGAATTAATCTCCTTAAAAGGGAAAAGGCAGCCAAAATAATACTTCTGCTAGCATACTTCTCATTCTTAGTATTTTTTTCAGTCAGTGGTTGGATAGAGGAAGATATATTAAAGGTCTTTCCATCTGTTGCTGATTCCTAACTTCTCTTCTGAACTTTTCTTTACTCTCCACAGTGCAACACTTCAACATTCTGTTTACTGTCTACCACAGTAGACTGTTCTACTTAGCACAGCAACCTGCTTATGCATCTCCCTTTCTCTGCTGAGGTCTGAAAAACAACACTTACCAGCTACAGAAACTCTGCCAGCTTCTGTCAGACCTTCAAACTGGCCAAATGTCAATATACAGGGACCTTGTGTGGCAGCACCTTCCATGACAAGGGGAAGGACTTGTCCTGCAGTTCTGGACAGGGGGGTGACATGGTTGGATTAGCCCATCCTTTGTTATCTCCCCCTAGGGAGCTCTCTTCAAAGAGCTCCAGAGATGTTCATTTCCTGCCTCCACAGGGCACAATAAAGCTCACCTCTGCAGCCACTGCTTTTCAGGAACAGATCTATCCTTAGGCACAGCTCCGTTTAATCCAGCAGTGGAGCCTGGGAGCCAGCAACAGCTCTCTGTGCACCAGAGGCTGTGGTCGGGCTGCTTCCACCTATGGCACACACACAGACATCTCCTGGTGCTAGAGAAGGTAGCATAAACATTAGATCTAAAACCTGAAGCTGTTCTTTGCAACTCATTTGATCAGATCAATTACATCAAGGTCCTTTGGGGAGAAATTGAATTAAAAATTTGATTTTCTGCGATTACAGAGAAAAATTATCAACCTCATTTCAAAAGTAATCCTCAGTTATACTCAGATCTAAATTCTGAATCCCATCTTGGACATTATTTCTTCAGCTGGGCTTTGTACTTAATATCATTCCTCAATTGGTTTTCATTTTTTACCCCAACTGCCAGAAAGCCTATTTTTACTGTTTCATCTCTTTTTTGAATTCAATCCCAACCGTAACCATGCCAAGTCACAAGACCAACACGAGAAATCAGTGAACACCATGGGAACTCAGTGTAGAAGGGCTCACTTTGGCTCCTCGTCAAAACTTGTTGGCCCTTCTCCAGGCCAGTATAAGGTAGCAGTAAAGCCCAGGCTTTGCAATCTAAACTAGTGGTGGAAGTTTTAAGCTCCCAGTCACTGTCTTAGGTGCACCTTTCCTCTGGTATTTATTTCTTAATCTGGGAAACTGGCTTTGTAGTCCTCATTTTATGTTTTTTTTTTTTTTTTGCTTCATCCCTCTCCATTTCCACAGGGAACACCCACAGCCTGATTTTGCAGACTTCTTTGTTTTCCAAAGAACTGTAGGATAACAGCTATGTTAACAAGAGGTTTGTCTCTAACTACTTTAGTTGCTTAACTGTCATAATTACTTTAACTTTGAACTGGTTTTACTCATCATCAAACAGACTTATACCTCTGAAGAACTGGTGCAGTTAAGTATTTAATCACTTTCTCCTGACTGGGAGCACTCCTGCTGAAGAGTTAAGGAGATCATGTAAGCAGCTTCATGATCCTGAACTAAAAACTTTTACTAGAGTATTTGCAGTTACTTACGGGGTCACTTTACACATTTTTGTTGGTATGTGTTTCAGACAAATGTGCTTGAAGATTATTTAAAAATTGTTTTGCCAGAGAAGTGTGAAAATGCTGTCCATATCACATTTTGCCTCAGAAATGTTACACTCCTACTACAGAACTCCTTTTAGTTTGCTAAAAATAGTCTTTCAAAGGGACAGTGTGTGCTTTAATGCTTGTTCCAATCTTTCCAAGTTTTTACTTCTCTTAATAAGTCTCTTTCTAAGTACAAGCTGCAGAGAAAAAGTGTCTTTTTCAATTGTTAATTTCTGACTGTTAATTTCTGTACTTTACTGTTGAATACCCTGTATTAAGAATGATGGTTTGACTGTAATAATGCATTTATAAAGAAGGGAACTATGAGGAATAAGACCCAGAAAACCAGGTATCTGATATATATGCGAAAATAAAGTACCAACACCACCCGAAGAAGAATGCAAAGTGAACAAAAATGTGATTTTGCAGCCTGGTATAGTTTTTTTTAAATGAGGAAATATATTTTAAAACAGTGATTGAAATGCTTCTTGTTCCATCTGTTTCATTTGGCTGTCTTCACCATTTCCAATGGATCCTCTATCCCAGCTCATCTGCTTGCCGGAGGAACTTTGTTACATGTCGTTCTTACTTAAATTTCTCTTTGAAATTCCCTGGAATTCTAACTTGCCAATGGGGGCAAAGGTACATCTTTAGAAACCTGTCTCTTTCTTGTCTGACAGAAGTCTGAACAGCTACTTAATCAAAGGGAAATTTCCATCAAAGTAGGTAAAAGTACATGCTCTGATTTTATCTTTTTGACTTTATTATTAGATTTGTGGGTAGTCAGGAAAATGTTCCTCTCATTTTCCTTTCTTACAGCTCTTCCTTGTTACCAGTGAGATTTTTCTTTTTGCAGAAAATCTTGCAGCTTATTCTTAATATTACCATTTTAAAGTAAAAAGATATGTAAGATAATTACGGCGATGATGAGAAGAGTCAAATGGCAGAAGTAAAAATATCAAAGTTTAATGTCTGTATCAGACAGTTAAGACTCATGGTCCTAGGAAGAGAAAAAAGGAAGGGAATATATGATTCTAAGCTAAGACCACTGAATCTGATGATGCTTTAAAAAATGCAAATCTTATTTACCTGTGCAATCACGTCTGCAGTTTCAGAGTAACTACGGCACTTTTTCACAGCTGAACGAGCCAGAAAGTCATCAATCAGCCTAATGCCAATGCTGTATCCCCTAAGGAAGAAACAAGGAAAGACAACATTTAAAATGGGGAACATCCTTCCACCTGCCATCTCCCTAATGTGTCTCTTGAGCTTTCTCAGCAAAACAACTGCATGATCCTGAGTGATTTTAATGACAATACATTTTGCTGGTCTACATTCTTATTCCTACCACATTTTGCAGCACACTGGGCTTGCTGTTCATGTAGTCATTTAAGGAATCATACATAAGCATGATACTCCTGGCAAGGATGATATGAATTTTGGTCTGTACATTGTCTATACATATAGAAACCAAATCCTGGGTACCCTCATTGCAGCGTTCAGGTGCCAGGGGAACCCATAGGGAATGCACCTGATCTCTTTCACTTTCTCCCCTTACCTCTTCACCTCATTTTTCACTCTTCCTTTGCAATTACCTGTTTGTCTTTTTTTTTTTCCTAACGTGTTATCTCCCTCCATCTAACTAGCTGACAAATAAATAAATCCAGAAGTTGTTAGTTAACACGTTACCAATAGGTAAGGCTTTATAAAGGGAAGTCCTTGTAACACAACTCCAGACTGTTATTTAGGCTAAACAGAAGGGAGCTATGGGAGAGTGACTCAGCTGGAAGAGGGGTAGAGAGACACAAGATACATGAGAGATGTGAGAGAGATGCGAGAGTCACACGCTGCGTGACTGCCAGATGTCCACATCATGTCCACATCCTGGTGTATGGTAGTTGGATGATTTGGCTCATTGTGCCTTAAAACTATAAAAACTGATAACCAGCTAACTGATAAAAAGGCTGGGTTTTTTTGGCAATAAGAAGCACTCCTTTGTGCCTGCCTGGGGTCCCTACGTTGCTCATTACTGCAACACAGGGCTTTGGTACACCACCACCTCCATTTTGTATTTAAAATACCACCATTTTTTAAAAAAACAAACAAAAAAGGGATGGACGATAATAGAATTTTATAAAACAAATATTCATTCCTAGCTCTGACACATTAACAAAGGTCAATAACTTCTTAGCATGCAAAACAGCTGTGACTCCAACCATTTTCTGAAAAATTGAGAGATTGACACAAATGTTATATAAGAATGGGTGCTCAGTTCAGAAATGTTTTCAGGAAATTTTTCATTCCCAGTTATGTGGATGTTGGCAGTGCCTGCTTGTTTGTTGGAGGCCCTACACCCTCAGTGAAGTAGCCCGAACTCAGTGGTTTCTCACTGGTTTGTGTACAACATCATAGAAGACAAACAGTAAGCTGATTACAAGACCAAACAGTGGGTTTGGCAGCGTGAAAATTAAGTTTGCAGTATGCCATGTGTCTAGAAACAATAAAATATCTACTTGTTGCCTAAGTATCAATGTCAATAACACTGGCAAATCAGCATTTAGCAAGGTGTGTATTAGTGATTTACGAGACTACTTGGATACCTTTCAACTTTTATGCCTTAGATTTGCAAAGTCAAATTAATAACAGACCTGTAAGCAGCTACTTGGCAACTGCACAGTGAAAAACACCCTTCTCACTACAGACTATATATATACAGAGAGAGAGAAATAAGTACGCTGTCCCCATCTGTCCCAGGTCTGCTGAGATGTGAGGTTTCTTTGTGAAGCTGGGCTGTTTCATAATCACAGGAAGTAAAGAACACATTGTTTTAATGAAACCTGTCATGATATTATTAAGTCTTCCTCAAAACAAAAAGATTTTATAAAAACAACTTCCATAATGAAAACATAAGGAACAAAAATCTGTCTCCACATCTTCCAAAACTCCTCTCAAGTAATTTCTACCATGGAGTCATTTAAGAAGCCTGTGCATTTTGTAAATGTATGATTTTCATCAGAGCTGAATGAGACATGAATATAAAAAAATATCTGAGGGATGTTATCCCTTATAAGTTTGTGAATAAATTACTAAATTACTTTTCTTTTTCCCAAACAATGATTTATATTTTTTTTTCATTTATTCTCATGGATCATTATTAGACTACAGCTAGTTTGCAAACTCTCAGGTTAACAGTAAAATGGTCAGGGTATTCTGTCCACTGTGATTGTTGTAAATCCATTTTGCATGTCCACTTTGCCCAGAAGCAAACATTACTTTTCTCCTCCTGTTGTTCAACAGAAACTTCAAAATAGCTCTTAGAAGACAGAACTTTCCTGGCCCTCTGACACAGAACAGCTCCTTCAGTTTTTCTCCTTGCAAATAGTAAAATGGTCAGGGTATTCTGTCCACTGTGATTGTTGTAAATCCATTTTGTATGTCCACTTTGCCCAGAAGTATAAGCCTCACTGTTCTGCTAAAGGCCTTACTGTACATTTTTGTTAACCTGCTAAACAGTTGTTTCTTGCTGATTTTCCATTATGTTGTTATCCTTATGGTAATGAGAGGGTTTGTGAACACTGGATATTTATTTTCCAAGGAGGTTATCCATGTGAAAATCCACCTTCACTGACCTTTTGTGCTATCTCACTCATTGCTGTATGGTCTTTTAAAAGTGAGAGGCTCATTTGACCCTAACCCAATGAGGGCTATAATGATATGAAATTTAGGAGATTATATTAATTATTAGCATAACTAAAGGATCAGCAAGGAACAAGTATAAGCTATGAAAACAATCCTGACACTTTTCCTCAGAGAATTAAAAAGCTAATTGTTGATCTTAATTCACAAATTAGCGTCGTTTCTGTTGACAGAATACTGGACCTTTTCCCTGTCTTCTCTGTAACCATAGACAGAACGCTGCAAATTGAGAAAACAAACAAAAAGCATTGTAAACAAATAGCATTCTACATAAAACTGAACATTTAAATCAGTACTTACATTCTATCTAAACAGGCATTGACATCTTCATCTTTTTCATAGTCCTTGCACAACTGGGCTACCAAAGCCCCATATGTGAGTACAAAAAGTTCTCTGCTCTGTCAGAAAACATGGAAATCGAAAATTAAGCTAACTATAATCCAACTTTTCTATGTTTTTGAGCTGCTGCTCATTAAAAGCAAGCAAAAACAACACTTAAATTAATAAAGAAACTTTTGTCCATGGATGCATAATCACTGAAATCAACATTTCAAGTGTGACAGAATCTATATTGACCCTCACTTGAGTTTGTAAGGGATTTTGCTTGTTAGAAGTACCATTTTTTTATATACTCAGAGTTACTATCATCAGTAATTCTTGCATCTTGAGTGTATGTATGCTGGATTGACAAATGCTGTCGAGTTCCATCCAAGAATAATAAAAAACTGCCACAGAAAAAGAGGCAATGAGCTATTAATCCTATGGCAGTAGGCACAACAGTTCACAAAAGTAGGGTTGATCTGATTCAAATCATTACCTCCTTTCTCCAAAAAAGTAAAAAGTAGACAAAAATTTAGCTCAGAATAAGGAAAAAAAAAATTATAATTCAGCACAACTGTAAAGAATAACAACTAGATGAAGGGGATGGTGAGGATTGCAGCACTCACATGGAGAGCAGCTGAAGATGCTAAAGGTGTATCTCTGCACTGATCCTGTCACAAGCACTACTGTGGGTTCTTCAGCTGTGCAACAGTTTGGAGGAAAGTTTCCTTCTCTGCCTGCCCTGTCAGATCATGTCCATGCACTGCAGAACTGTCTGTGTTTAGCAGAAGTAGAAGCTGGCCTTTAAGTGTGAGATTAGGTTGGCTCTTACTTAATTTCTTGGACAGGAATTAATTAAAGGAAGTTCTACAGCCCTGTGGGATGTGGTCAGGCCAGAGCTGGTTTTTTGTCTCTAGCCTGTGGAAAAATAATAGTGAATACCAATAAAAACAATAGAACAAATCACACTAGCAAACTAAGAACAGCTTGGTGGAAAGATTTCTTCCTACTTCCTCTGCATCATAAGTTTGGAGTTTAATCAGTGTTGCTGTTTTAGCAAGTTAGTGTCCAAAATCTTAAGCAGAACCATTTTCCAAACTTATTTTAGTGATAACTCCTGTTTAAAATTATATTGTACCCTTGGTCAAATTCTCAGTAA